CTAACGACAAAACAAAAAATTAAACCATTACAGGGAGAAAGACAAAGAAGTGTTGTGACTATGACGTCAAGAGTTAAAGCAACCCACCCGAGATTTCTAACAGTTTTGTTTGTTGACCTTCTTGACAAGACGAAAGCCACAATCCAGAAAATGAAGACTATAAATCCCAATACAAAGAATACATAAAAAAGCTTCTTGTTTTGTTCTTCATTTGAAGGGTTGGTAGTCAACATTTCATTTGAATTTGGTTGCACCAAAAGTGGTTCACTCTGTGTCGTTTGGACATATTGTTGTTGGTACACCTGTTGTTGTGGAACTTGTTGATACATTTGTGGTAAATACTGTTGTCCATTTTGGTAGTCTTGTTGCATCGGGTCGACTTGTGGCACTTGAACCACCATGGGTGGTGGAACTAAATTCTGAGGAGTTTGATAAACGACTTGTGTGGTCATGTTGTGCGTTTGATTAACGAGATTTGTTGTATTTTTATAATGGAAAAACAAGAAGAAGAACAAATCTTTTCTATATTATTCATTCAAAAGATTCTTGGTATCTATTAATGTTGATTTATTAATAAAGTATTTATAATTATTATCAAGTATTTAAATCGTTTTTCTAATAAAATATTAATTTCATTTACTTAACATTCCAAATATTACTTGTTTTAAAAATGAATGAAGAATTAATTTTGAAAAGAAGTGTCAATAAATAATTCAAGTTTACTTTTATAATAACACAAAATCATAATATATATGTTAATATAAGTTTCACCACAATCAATAAAAACTGGTTGATTTATAAGTGTTTAATACTTATAAAAATGTTTTTGCTTCAAAAATGTTTTAATTAAAGACGTTTTTAAAAATAATATAACTTATTTAAAAAAGGGAAAATGTGTATTGTAATACATAGTTAAAAACCCGATAAACTAACATATATTTAAATAATATAATATTATTATGCTTTTTATTTTTAAGTTTCGTTTTTAAGCAATTCACAAAAAGTTGAAAATATCAAAAAGACACATCACAGTCATCAATATATATCTTATATGAACACTCCTTCGTTAAAAAAATCTTGAATTGGCTCAATCAAAACAAGCTATGTTGTCATTTATCTCTTTTGGTATCTCAATTTTAGTTTCTGAATCTTCATAATTATCACTAAAGTCTTCTTCATAACAAACAATAAAGATCAATTATTTCCATTTTGATAATTGTGTATCATTGAAACAATTAATTTGGAACATATCAAAAAGATTGGGATGTAATACTTCGACAATAAAAACTATTAGAAAATCATCAAAACAATAACAAAATGACTTTTTTAATTTAACTTTATTATATTTTGTATAAATTTGACAATCAAAAGATTTGATATTTTTTTTAATACACTTTTGTTTTGTGGTAAATAATTTGTTAGGTTATAAACCATTTAATCACTCTTAAAAACACAAAAAATTCCAATCGATAAAGTATTTTTTGATGTTTAGAACAATTTGTTTTACTTCTTTTTGTTTTGATTTGTATTGATTTCAAACCTTTTAATTGTTTGATAAATAAGTTGAATTTATAAAAAGACTTGTATGTAGATAATTTTTGATACAGAGCAAAAAATTTTATTTGAATCAGTCATTAGTGGGCCATTTTGGTGACAAAGATCGTTGAACCTAAAAATTTTTAATTTTGTATTTCTGAGCATAGATTGAATATGTATTAAAACAATAAAAATGTTGTGATGTTGTCGTTTTTCAAATTTGGTGATGTTTAAAAATTAAAAAGTTTTACAAATCGTATTTATCAGAGATTTTTATTTTAAACAAGTCCTCTTTGTTTCAATATGTGCTTGATTTGCTCTTCTTATTTTGAGGCTTGCATTTTGTATTTCAATATTAATTCTACAAAACAAGTAACAAATGTTAATATTATTTTATTTTAAACTTAAAAAAGCACTTGTAATATAGTATAATCCAAATATTCTTAAATAAAGACGTTAAAATAAAATTTTAATAATTTGTGAGGGGATATAGTTCAACGGTAGAATAGTTCCTTTCAACAGATGATTCTTGGAAAAGACGATGGGTTCAACTCCTATAATCCTCACTTTTATTTTTTTGAAAAAATATAGTTATATTTATAATATATAAATTATAATGATATCATTTAAAAAATGTGAATAAAATGTATTCTTTTTCTTACGAATTTGAGAGCTTCTGGCAAATTGGAAATTCTACCAATACCACATCTATTGTTTTGGTTTCGTGCTAACAAAAAGTGTTTATGTACTTGAGTATTTGTTTAATGATTTATTAAGAAAAATATTTAATAGTTATAATCATTGCAATTCTTATATATTGTAATTTAAACTTTGTCACTATATGAATTTCTAATGATCCGGTACTCGCCATTTGCATTTTTTCCATACCCAACAACAGTGACGCAATAAATCTTTACAAATGTTTTGCATTTTTAGTGATTATAAATAATATTCTTCTTATACAACATAAAAGAAACACAACAAGCATTGTCCATACCAACAAAGATTGGTATATATATTGCCGTGAAATCTTGTAAACCAGGCTCACTTCCATCTGTGACTTTTGCACCAACACTATTACAATGTTTCTAATACCAGTTTTACGGGTTACATTATCAGCAAGATATGGATAAGATAATACCAAAGAAATTCCGTCATTAATTGTTTATCAGTATTTTGATAAAGGAAAAGGCTTTTGGGGGTGATCATTTTTACAATTGTTGTCAGTGGGATCAGTTGAAATTAACTGTTTTTAAAAATGAGTAAAAAAAGTTTTATAGTCTATGTTGACTCTTCCCTCTTTGTTGGAGCGGTACAAAAATTAAAACACCTACTACAACTTTCTTGATTTTTTTTAAAAATTTATAATATTAATTCATATAAAATTATAGAACATATAGTTTTTGTTGTTTGATTAATGCAACTAATAAGTTTTTATTTGACATTAAATGGTGGGATTTGATAAATATTCGTGTTTATTCAACTATATTTCAACAAACAATATATTATTTTTTATTTACAATTGAAAAATTGTTCGTACTAATACACCCAAAATTTAATTAAGATTTTTACTTCGTTATAATGTTAACCTAACAAAACGAAAACTGGATAATAAATATCAAGTTAATTTTATAAAAAATAAGTCACTTTTTCTATTTTTGCGTTTTGAACAATATAGAACTTTAAATGAAAATGACAAACCATTTTTTGTTAAATAAAAATGACGTTGACAAATATGACAACTGCTTTGAAGATGCAACTTTTATTGACGATATAAGTAAAAACCGCATTAAATTGTGAAAGTACCGAATATTCAAGTCAAAATTTCAAGACCCAATTTCAACAAGAACGATAAATAAAAGTGCTAAACACGCAAAAAACTCACTACAGCAATATAATAAGCAAACACAAGAACAACAAGTGAGAAATACAATAGTACCCCATTCGTGTTATGACCCAAATTGGTTGAAATGTTGAAAGAATAACATTTCAGAAGTTTGATGTTGTATTTAGTTGTTTCTTTTGTGACATATATGCCAAAAAATAATAATACTGAAAGACAATTTGTTTTTCAACACTTTGTTTGACGCCAATTGTCTTAAAATTATTATTGATAACACCGACAAATATACATTTTACTAATTTTCGTGCTTTTGGAAAAAACGCCACACAAAACGAAATGAATACTTTTATTCGGTTGCAATAAAAAAGGGATTAATGATGATGTCAAGAAACCAATACACGAATTGTATCTACAGAATAAATATCAATTTATCATGCAGTGTTTTTTGAAAATAGTCTCAAGCTATTATTTTAAAACATTCATTTTGACAATAAAAACAAGAGAAGAACGAAAAACAAAAATTCTGTTGCCATCAGTAAACCGTTTGATTTGATTAACTTTAAAACATTGAAAATATGTGATATTATTATCCATAAAATAATGTGTCTATTTAAAGGAATATGTATATTTAAAGTCTATACACCTACAAAATTAGATCGTTGTAATATAAAACATGCGCGGTTGTGGATTGTTACACATTTTATGTTTTAAAACTTAAATTATATTATGGTTATGAATTCTCACAATATGTGACACATACATTCATAACAACTGTTCCGATTTATTATGTCCACCTTAAAGACCAACCATTAATGAATTAGACAGTTTCAAAAAGCCAAAAAAGAAATGGTAAAAGTACTTTTGTATTTTTAACAGTTCTGGGCGTAATGGAACATTTATTTTGGCGAAAACAGTGTTTTGTATCGTGACAAGTTGTTTAAAACAAATGATTTACTCTGTTCTTTAAAAAACAAAATCATAAAGTTGATTTTATTTGGACATTTCAGAAAATACATTTCAAAATTTACAAAAGATTCAGGTAAAAAATTTAGAAGATCGATGTGTTCTTTTCGTCATCCAAATTTAAAATGGTTTATGTTAGGTTACTAGAAAAGTAAAGTAAACAACTAATTTGTCTTGTAACAACAAAAAATGGAAAATTGTAATTGATATAAATACAAAGATTTTAATAAACGATATTTGAGTATAACATAATGAAAAGAGAAGAAGATATATTGATAAAATCCGTTCCTCTCATACCACAAAAAACTTCAAAAATGGGCAGTCTGTTGTTTTTGGTTTTTGTTAAATTTGTGTGTGCATATTGTATTTGTGGTGTGGAAAAATTATATTAACAATATTTGTTTCTAATAGCCAGCCAATATGTCGCAGACTTTATGAAAAATAGAAAAATAACAACAGAAACAAAGGAAAGTTAAACCTAACAAAGACAAATTAAATTCGATATTTTACTCTCTGATTTTGTATTTGACGAGTTTTGGCAAAAAAAACAATATGGATGTTGTAAAACATGTAAAGCCGATAGCCTTTATATAAATACATTCTCTGTGTGTCACTTTTGCAGCAAGAATATACAAATTTGGACACGTGGTAAGTGCGGAAATTGGTTTTGTAAAACTGTTTCAATTGTATGAAAATCAATTGATTTTGTTTTTGAATTTGTTTTTAATTGTTTAAAAAAATATAATCAATCTTGATAAATTTTATCCAGATTTTAATTTACCACAAAAAAGTTGATGCAGTTGACTTGCTAAAGTTAATTTTATTTTTGTATGCAATAATAAAAACATTGAAATAATGTTTTGTATGTAGCTTTGAAAAAAAATGTTGTAAATGATATTGATTTTAAGACAAACAGAACTTTTATTCTGTATAATTCCAATTTAACACGTATTATTAAATCAACACATTAACAAAAAAATTAAATAAACTGTTTTTCAAAAGTCGGTACTGTCATATTTTTAGAACTTCCTAAAGTCCCGTTTTTTATTTTTGTTTTTTCCTAAAAAAACAAAAAACAAAAAATCGAAAGTACAGACTTTATTTTGAAAAAAATACCAATCCCGTTCAATTATTTTCGTACATATTCGGGAAAATATCGGAATATTAGCCATCTTTTTCCAAAAAACCCGATCCCGTTATTTGATTTGACCATAAATCGATACTTCGCAACATATACACAGCATTGTTGACCTAAAAGCACAACAATTAACGTTTAAGTGAATTGGGATGGTGTTGTTTGTGTCGAGTTTTAACTGATAATTACTTTCGTTAAAAAAATATTTTCAATTAAAAACAAACATGTGGTTATCTTCTCTGAATAAAAAATAATGAAATAAAGAGTTCCAAAAACACCAAAAATTACAGCAAATGTTTGATAATTTTGACAGGCATAAGTCAAAATTGTCAAAGGGCAACACTAGAAAAATAATACAAAATAACAATATTGTTTTGTTATTGGATATTTTAAAAAAGATGTTCTCACTGAAATGCTCAAAAAGAATGTCGACTTTATAAAACCCAACAAAGATAAGTTATCAAATCATTTTGTTATTTTTATTGTTTTTGTGACAACACTACTAAGCATACTAATCTTCGAACTAAGCTTTTGTTTTGTGAATATTTCATTAATTATTAAAATGTTGATAATGAAAAAATTTGACATTAAGTTTATTTGCTTTTGTACTAAAATGCACTTTTGGGATAATTCACATGTTTTTTAGAAACAAAAATCCCGTTATTTCAATTTTTATATGGATTTTTTTAATGCTTAAAAATTCTTCAAGTAAAAAAATATTTTTTGAAGATTGTTTTTCTCTTTTTTACTTGGAAAAAATAAGTGATTTTTATTACAAAAAAACGATTCCCAAAAATAATAAACAAAATCAA